GCTTTAATTAGCAAGCCACACTAATTAAAAGCACCCGAGCGTCACATGCATCAGCATCCCCCATGCTGAAAAATGGCGGCGGGGTGTTTGAACTAAAGCGCATTGAACGAGCTTTAGTTCCAAGTGCCTCGCCACCAGCTTTCAGTGCGAGGGATGCTGGTACACACGACACTGGAGTCTGCTGGAGCGCAGTAATTAAATGTAATTAACTGAGTCTGCTCCGACGTGCCGGATTTCCAGCACGTCTATAGGAGCCCCCAGATACCGAATGCCAGAGTTCAAACACAGAGGCTCTGATGGGACTGACTAACCCTTAAGCGACTGAAAAACAATTAAAAGAAATTGGAAGCCAAGGTGGGGGGAGGACCGTCAGACAGAATTGCAACAAGCCTCTTCCTCCCCTTTCACAATGATGGGCAGACAGTAACTGAAATTCCCCAATGAAGGTTTCAGTTTATAAACTGAGGTGGTCATCTGCCCATCAGTGCAACCATTAACCATAACGCACTAACGCTAGTCTGCAGTGGTTACAGCACTTCACACACCTTGCTGTCTCCACCCAGGATGAATGATTAACTACAAGTTTATTTAACATGGCTTTGTACACTCCTATGACACGACCACCACATATAACAGTCTACAACGGCAGAGACAGAGCCCTCGAGAGTTAAGAGAGAGAATGGAAAAGGTTGTGCACCAGTAGAAAATGAGGCCAGCAGATTAAGATGTCCGTTGGATCCACTACCCTCAGCCTTGGCAAAAGCACAAGGGCTAAAGCAGAAACAAAACCAAGTTCGATATGGGGTGCAGGCAACAGCAAGAGCCGTGTGCCTGTGCACACAGAGCAGAGCTGCATGCAAAAATGTTGCCTGCTGCTCTACTGCGTGGGCCCTTTCTCTTTTCTGCATTTGCCATCCACTGACACACGCAAGCTACCAGCCAACCAGGGCTGTTAGGCATAAACCTGCTGTCTTGGGAATCAGCAAACCTTACTGTACATAGATTCGCCTAATCCCCAAGCACCAAGTGATGCATAAACCTGTGCATCAGTTTAAAAAAGAGAGAACGGCAGCCTTCACTTAAAAAAGTGAAATGAAGATAGGACTTTGTGGAAGAGCTTTACACAGAGCTGATCAGGAGATCCAATTGCCTTGTCCTTCTCATTAAAAACCTATCAATATAAAAGCTAGAGAAAGCAGTCCCTGGCCAAAGAAAAATCCTGTCCATGCATATAAAACCCTGCCTTTCAAAAGCCAGAGCTTTGGATCATTTTTAAAAGGACAAGATATATTTTTTTAATTTTTGCTACTTATTACATATAAAAAAGGGAAGTTTAGAACAAATTGAACCAGGTGATCCAGTTGCCCGGTTGTTTTAAAAGGTAAAGAAAGGAGACATATTATAGCCAAAATGTAAGGTTAACCCCTATACTAGATACAGAACAGGGGAGTTAGTTCCAAGGGACATCTGTATCACTGGGAAACAAAACTCAATCAATCAAAATCATGGCAGAAGAGAAAGAGGTGTAATGCTAATGGGGAAAAAAAAAAAATACCTAAAACAGAAACAGTCATTTGTAACATTATCCCTGCAACTCCCTTTAATGCTTATAGTTGATACCAAACCAAATTTCAAGCTTTTGCCCATTTGAAATTATTGACACCCATCATTTCCCTTTAATTAAAGGGATAATTATATATATTTATTTTTATTAAAAAATCAACTCTGTATTCTGTCAATACCAGGTAGGAATTCACAATTCGTGATGTTACTGAAAATCAAGATTAACATTTGCGGAGTTTTGTTTCGTGTTTCCTCCCCCCTACCCAAAAAAGTTATTTACAGACTTAAAAAGCCATGCTGCAGAACTGAGCTTTCTTTAAAATTATGAAGATTTCCTACAATGTATTAAAATAAAAGTAGATTTTTATTATTATAGCACTTGGATTCAGAGCTTGTTATGTCACCCACTTGCAATCCTTGTTTTTTTGTTTTTTGTTTTTTTTTAATAGATATAGATGCATTGAGTGTCTCTTCACATACAGTGACCTGTGTTGTGAGCCTGATTCTAGCACCTACTCAAAACTAACAGGGAAAAAAAAAACAAGATTGCAGGGAAGTTCTCTGAATACTCCATACAGTCCTGTATTTTTTTCAATAGGCTTCTGAATAGGTTGTCATGCAGGGAGACCCACACCAGTCTTGAGAAATCTTCTCTACAAATGAACACTATTTACGCTGATAAGTCTTTAGTTGTTGGGGGGGTTGTTTTTCTTTTTGTTTTAAATATATAAAGACATTTTTATAAGATATTCTTTTGCTTTTGCAGCTCTTATTTGTATGTAAAAATGTTCCATTCCTTCCCAAGGACTGGGGTTTCCATAAGCCGGCAATACAAATAAATAATTTATTACAACTGTTTGTCGCCTTCTTTCTTCAGTCGACTGAAAGAGAAAGAAAACTCGTTTTAGCAGACAAAGGGCACGCAGCCCGAGGCTGCACCAAGGCAGTTGCTCGTGCTGTTACACGTCACCACAAAAGCAGTGTGGAGTGGTATCCAAATGTCATGAAGGGGGACAAGAGGCCTGGCTGCTCAGAACAAAAGGACAACCATCATGGTGAAGGCGACGGTCTGTCATAGGCACTGAGGTTCTTCCTCTGTGGGGGCCTTCTTGACATTATCAAGCTCATCAACTATGGACAGAAGGAGCCCAAGAACAGGGGGAAACAAACTTTGTCCTTATCTATACTGGTGGATCAACTGCCTTCAGTATCAGCTTGGTTGCCTCCAGCACTGTCAGCCAATGTCAAATTCCCATAACACAGACAAGGCTCGGACACCAAAGGAGACAGGAGACTGGCGTACAACATGCTTCTCATTTGTCCACTTACGGTGCTTATAGCAAGGGCAACCCTGCTAAATGCAGCAGCCGTCCTCTCTTAGCAGACAGACCGTCAAAGCAGCCAAAATGAGAAGGGGTCACCCAAAGAGGGCAACTGGGAAGAAAATCCCCATCATAATTTTGGGAGAAACTTCATCCAGCTCTGTTCTACCGCTCTTCTTATGTGCACATTATTCGCACAATTTCACCTACTGTTCTTTTTTAGTCATTTGTTATTGGCTGGTAAGGATTTCTAGGGTGATATCTTTTATTGGGCCAACTGTGTAGCTGGGAGACAGTTCAACAAGCTTTTGAAAGCAAGACGTTCTTCGTCAGGTCTGTTTTTGCTGATGAACAATGGTGGTGAAAGCCTCTGGGATCTTTCCCTGCCCTCACAAGGAGGTGGCAGCAAGCAGCAATCGTAACAAACGTTACTGAAAGCAGAGTTAATCCCGCAGAGAAAGATTCAGCTAATTTACTGCATGTCCCAGGGATTCTGATCTAATGCCCAATGTCTGCCTGATCCTCTGCATCTACGATTCGGTTTTCCTGAACGCTTCATTACCTTTAACGAACACGTCATGGTCATCTCCAGCACGCTTAATAGGCTAGGTAGGTTGCAGGCTGGAGGGAACCAGTCAGGGAAAGTAGAAACAGAAAGCTGCTACCTGTAGCACTGCTGGTGCCTCTCACCTGTAATAATCTTCCTGACTTGGTAGGTGTCCACCATGCATGTGGGGGTGCCCATGCAGCCACTGCTGCTCCATTGCCAGTCTCTGCAGTTCTGCCGACTGGGCATGCATGGCCTGCAACTGATGGGCCGCTGACATTGGAGGTGGGATGGCACCAGGCAGGTCTCGCGGGTAGGGGGTACCTGCAAGAGAGACCATCTTTATTTAGACACAAACTGGCTCTTGCTATCCCCATGAGGCAGATAAGCAGAGTGTTACCCTCATTCTTGTCCTGCAGACAGGGAACGGAGCTGTAAAGGAACCCACCCAACTTTATACGGCAGGTCGGTGGTAGAGCAGGGAATACAATCCTGAATTCAAGACTTGCACCTACTCTAACCACTGTACTGTGTGGCCTCCTGAAAACACACCACAAGAACTTTGCTCCAACAGAAAAGGCCTGGTAATGAGGTGTGTTTGGGGTGGGGGGGGACTTCAATGGAAATACAGCATAAAAATGTTCAGCTCAAAAAACAGTGGAAGAAATGCAAAGAGGAATTCAGAGTTCCCAACCCCTCTACTGTATATCTGGACCCAGAGAAAAGCCACCATGGTTCAGATCACAGCGCTGCTGGTAGGAAGGTCGGTGAAGTGTTCTCACCAAAGACTGGGTGTCGAAGCATTTCATGCTCGTGGGGTGGCTGCCCTAGCAATGGGTTAGGGATGGTACCGGGTGGGTAGGGAAAGCGTGCCAAGTGGGGTCCGGCTGCCAAGGGATCCACCAGTGGGTGAACAGGTCCTGCTGAACCTAGGGAAGAAGGAGAAAAGGAAGGTAAATGAACTGTTTGCTGTTCAGGGATCAAAAGCCATGTTACCACTTGAATTGGAGCAGTATTTGGCCTAATTGATGTGTAATTACCAGGAGCTTAGCTCCATTCGACTTGAAACCCACTTCTCTATCTTCAAGTGTTTGAAGTGACATCTGCTTGCAAAACAGCCTTAATTGTTAAAGCAACAACCCGGGGCTTTTCAGCCTCAACAAGGAGAAACAAATCTACCAAGCAACAGGAAAAATCAAATAGCAAAACCACTTAAAGCTTTCACTTTTAGCACCCTTCCCACCTCAGGCTTCAGCAGTGAGTCTGCTAATCAGCCCCACATGGCTCTGAGAGTCCGCTTTTCCCAAGACTTATATGGGAATCATGGCTAAAGATATTTGCTTTTGTCAATACCTGTCCTGCAAAATCTCTGCTCGCTCTCCTTTTTCATCACCCCCCCCCCCCCCCCCCCCCCCCC